GGAGATCTTACTTTTATTGTTGAGCTGAACGTGGAGATCTTACTTTTGTTGAGCTGAACGTGGAGATCTTACTTTTATTGTTGAGCTGAACGTGGAGATCTTACTTTTATTGTTGAGCTGAACGTGGAGATCTTACTTTTGTTGTTGAGTTGAACGTGGAGATCTTACTTTGAGCCGCGCGCTCATATAACCTTATGTAGTTACGGGCGCCGTAAAACACTTACTAAAATGAGTAGATAAATAAAAAAAGACATGAAAGTCCTCTAGCCCAACATCCCTTTACCTGAACAATCTGAGCACCCAGCCTGCTCTCCACAAACTCTAGGTTTTTAAAAAGTTTAGTACGGGGTTTTACGGCGCTCGCAACTGCATAAGGTCATATGAGCGCGCGAAACAAGTTGTTTTTTTCTCAACAGCTCACTGCTGAGCCTGATTCTGGTCAATATTTCTAATTAAAATTGATAAAACGCTAAAAAAATGAGTGTAAATAGATTTTAAATTTAAAGCAACCTTCTAAACACTTTAAAATTTTCGAACAATCCATTTTATAACTTCCCATAAAGGCCAATGGCCTTCATAAAATCCTAAATTCTGTTGGGAACAACGACGGAAAACAGATCTTTCATTTTTTTCCATCTAAATATTTCCTTCGGGTCTCTCCGAAATCTAGTCATTCGGTTAAAATGTGTCTAATGGTAACATCTCTGTCGCATTCGACACAGAACGGCTTCTCATCACCCAGGAGGAGGTATTTGTGTGTTAGGGCCGTGTGTCCGATGCGTAATCGAGGAAAAACGACTTCGTCTCTTCTGGAGAGGAACGAAGGATTTCGAGGTCCCAGGTTGGGTTGAATGTTGTGAAGTTTGTTGTTTGTTTGTTTTTTCTAGTGGGTCTCCCACAGACAGGACGACAAACTCTGGTACGTCAAACACCGCCCTGCCCCCACATTTCTGTGAAAGCTTGTAGGTTTTTCCTTTCCTCATTACTATGCGTTCACAGCATGGTTCACACCAAACTTCCGCGCCCGCCTGCGTGTTCCGTCATGTTGTGAAAGTGGCATGGTATAGGTTTAACGCCACAATCAATACTGTTAACAGTTGGCGAGACCTCCGAGTTTAAGGTCCATCTCCGAAAGGACCGAGCCTTATGGGAAATTTATGTAAAGTGTCTTTCCTAATGACACAACGTCAGGCCGAGCTGACACTCGAACCCCCAAACCCGCAATCTCACGATTACAGGTCCAGTAGCCTAGCCACTAGGCCACCTGCTAAAACACAGCGGTTTGAAGGGAGTTGAAGTCCATCTGTCTAGTTTGCCTTATGGAGGCCATCATTGTTTCCGTTATTTTCCGAGAAGCGGGACAAAGTCAGCCAGGCTAATTTTTTCTCGCACGTTTCTGATGAAATAGCTAATCTAAATCTGATGCAAATTCGCATCGTTTTCTTTGGTAAGTGTTTTACGCCGCTCGCGACTGTATAAGGTCAAATGAGTACGCCGGGCACATAACACATTCAGTTTGGTAAGAATTAATTTTGAATTTTGCCGGATAGCAGACGAAACCTACTTAACTCTTATCGATTCTCAATCACTAAGGAATCTTTAACTTGCGCAACTTGCATAATAAACCCCCGGGATGTTTAACCCTTATCCGAGAAGGCAAGGCCTTAGATCTTACCTACCACCATAAGATTAAGAGTGTGGCTGAAAGATAGCAGTAAGAAGGGGCCAAGAAGTAGCAGATGGAAGGCTGCAGAAAGAGTCAGGAGCCTAGAAGGGGAAAGGAAGGGGGGGGGGGGGGGGGGGGTAAATTTGCAGTCGAAAGCAGATGACAGAACATGGTTAAGAGAGCAGGGAAAGTGGGTGAAAGGAGAATATTTAGAGAAGAAAACTGTCCGTTGCTGCCAGGTTTCGAACCCGGGACCTATTGAATGAAAGGCAAACACCGTAACCTGTCCATCATGAGAG